AAAAAAAAAAAAAAAAAAAAGAAAAAAGAAAAAAAAAATGAACGACCTTCGTCTCTCCGTCTGTTCTCAGGGGAACTACGCGTATGCTAGAGAGCTGCAAGGTCCTCGAATTCTCGCCGAGATGGGCCCTGCTACGTTCCCGCACGGTGGCCGGATCTTTTCCGAGATTTATAACCAGATCCCCGATTTCGCGGTCGGCGCGAAGAATCGCTTCAACGAGAGCCACGTCGGTGCACCGACTCGACGATGGTACTCGAACGTCACTTTGTCGAACGGTGTCGCAAACGACTTCGTGTTGGAAACGTCGATACCCGAGTTGCTCCCGTATTTCGAGCCTCGACCGGCCTCGAAAGGGAAAGTGGCGGCGAGAAACAATCCCGCGGCGTTAATCGAGAAAGCGGAGAGGAAGGGGCACGCGAGGAAGAAGGAAGCGAAACAATTGAACGTGGTCACGTCCGAGCAATTGATGAAGAAGAAATTGGTGTACAAGGACGGGGAGAGCCGGGTAGTTGGGGCCGCCTGTGGGCAGAAGATGGGGGAGAAGAGGAGGGGGGGCCAGGCGAGAAAGTGCAACGAGCTGAATATTCTGCAGAAGACGATCAACACGTTGGCAACGTGCGAGAGGCAATCCCAGTTTGGGAGGCCTAGGCAGACGAGGTCGAAGAATTGGACGATACCTGCCGCGTTGTCCGACAAGAAGCCCAAGATGCTGTACGGCTTGGTCAGGCAAAGGAGGAAACCTCTCACCAACTTCTTCACCAGATTCTTCGACGTTCGTGAGAACGAGATCGCCTCGGACGAGTATTGCAACAACACCAGCATCGCTGCCAGCGGCAACGGCAACAACAACGGTAACAACAACAACAACAACAACAACAAAATGGTCGCTGGTTGCTTCAAGATGGACAACCTCGCTTCCGTTGGGAACAATGACAGGTCTCTGTTGAAGAGGCGGGGCGATCAATCGAAATCTTGCAAAGCGTTCTTCCAGAATCAAAGGTTGGACGCGTCCACCTCGATGAGCGAGGTGACGCCCGAATTGGAGGAGAGCAGTCGGGATAAGAGCACGAAGGGAGCCGAGGAAGCGGAAGAGTCGATCACCGTCGACCAATTGGACGACAATTTGAAGCTGATCGACGAGAAGGGGGGGGTGACGTCGAGCTACGAGGGATCCGAGAACGACGCGGTGAGCGTGTTCGAGTCGCAGACCCAGAGCCCAAGGAAAATCTCCTCCCAGATCGCCCTTTTCCTCGAGAATTTGAACGTGAACAGGAAAAAGTCTCGATCCCTCGCGAGCCTCACCTCGTACAACCTCGACTCGTTGTTCGCCGATCCCTGGGAAACCAAATCTCCATCCCAAATCCCTCCAACCAGTCCCGGGGGGGACGAGTTCGATCGGATCACGTCCGTGTTCTCGTCGAGCGAAAACGAGCTCAGATTGATCGCCTCCATGGATTTGTTCAGCGAGAGTAACGCGATCCCCGACAACAACAACAGCAACAGCAACAACTACATCTACAACAACTACTACAACAACAACAACAACAACAACAAGAGATTCTCGAGCACGAGGACGAGCAAGAAATACGGGAGGAAGAGCAAGAACGCGGGGCGGAAGCAGAGGGAGTTGCTGTGCAAGAAGCAGGACGTTATGCAAAAGAGGTGTCAATCGACGTGTGGGAACGCGAACGACGATCCTTGCACCCCGTTGAGGAACGAGCAACACGGGAAACCGTGCAAAGTGTACCAGGAACCGTTCCCGGACGACGACCCCTGCGAGCAATTCTACAACGAGGATATTCACGGCCCGTTGTGCAAGAAGAAGAAGAAGAGGGACACGTGCGCCAAGAAGGAGAAGAAGTGCAAGGCGCCTAGGAAGGAGGAGAAT